GCCTTAGGAATAAATACTATTTAGAATATGGGTTTTGACTGCTAATGCAAAGGAAATGACACTGAATTCTCTGTGTATTCTGCAGTTGGCAATATTGAAGAGTTCAGCAGGGACTGAAAGAGAAGGACATTACAGTGAACTTTAGATACACACAAATCTCTCCTGCCCCATCATGATTATGCAGACTCTCTTCTCTGAAATACTGCACAGTATACCAAAAAAACTCTTCTAGGCCTAAATTGTTATGGTTTGGGAGAAAGTACTTGTTTTTTTTATGAAGCTACCAGAATACAGTTTTGCTTCTCATGTTTGGCAGTGTGCATTATTTAGATTTGGAGAAGGAAACTGTGTAATGATTGCTTAAGATTATCACGTTAAAAAATTACCATTAAAGGCATGGGCAATGTCACTGAAGATTCACCTCCTTCCTTTGTGATGCTGTACAAATGCTGAATTTTACATACATTTCCAGTTTAAGATATACAAATTCTGCTCATCAAGTTGGTCATTTCATGTATCAAATAATGTTGTCATGGGTTTGGCTTAGCTCTTAAAACTCCTGCTGATGACTAAATGAGGGTTGCCACCTGGTCATTATTTTTAGGCATTCATATTATGGACAGAATTCCCCAAATAAGTTAAAAACCAATTAGACTGTATTCAGATATGTATTTGGCTTGGTTCTGCTGGTGCTAGTGCTAGTAGAAGCGGGCAGAGTGACACTTCTGTGCCATTCCTGTGCTGTTCTGGAGACTTGGAAGTCCCTTCCACAGCAACAAAAGGGCACTGAGACGCTATAGTTTGGAGAGAGAACTTGTAGGAGACTAGTACAGTGGTGCCTCACTTAACGAGGATAATCCGTTCCAGCGAAATCGCTGTAGAATGAAATCCTTGTTAAGCAAAATAAAAATCTCATTGAAACGCATTGAAAACCCGTTCAATGCGTTCCAATGGGCTGAAAAACTCACCGTCCAGCGAAGATCCTCCAAGGGGCGGCCATTTTCGGTGCCTGTAAAGCAAGGAATCCGTCCAAAAACACAGCGGGGAGGCATTTTACACAGTGAGTGGCCATTTTGAAGACCCGACAATCAGCTGTTTTAAAAACGTAATGCGAAGAATCGGTTCCCGAAGCAGGGAACCGATCGTCGCAAAGCGGATTTTGCCTACTAAAACATTATTTTGCTATCGTTAAGTGAGGCACCACTGTGTCTTATCCTTTCTTCTAGGGAAGCAATCACTAGATCCTGAACAGAAGGAGCTTTCCCATTTGTAGAAGGATGGCTTTGGATCCAATCTTTTACAGACAGAGTTAGATCTCTGTTTTCCCTGATTGCAGGATTTTTTGTGGAAGCTGCCATGAATCATGCATTGTGGCAACCAGCAATATTGTGCATGTGTTTTTAGAGAAAAATACAAATTTATAGGACATATTGGAGTGAAAAATATGAGCTAATAGGTCATATTGGATGAAATCCAGTTGGCTTCTTGGTGTAGTACGTAAGTACAGTAGTAGGTTCCATTGATTCAAATTGGCCTACTATAGTTGTGACTTACTTTAGCACAGTAAGTTGTGGTTAAAATAGGACTATTTGAATCGATAAATTGTACAGAGGAATTGAGTTGCAAAATCCCTACTGATTCATTGGGCCTACTCTAGTGCAACTTAATGTACCCTTAGAAGGGCAGGATTTTAGCCCTTGTTAAAAGGACACTTGGATAATATTATCTAAGTACAGTCACATAAATGGAGTAATATTGTATCTCTACAGATTTTTTAAGTGTGTCAATACAGACATACTGTATTGCAAAACAATACTGTATTAAGCTTCTGCTTGTCAGTGTTGACTGTATTGAGACAAACAGCTCAATAGTTGGGATTCTGTAAAAGGCATTTTCCTATATTCCTGTGAGCAAAATTGATGCAGAAATTCCAGATATTTTGGGGTAAGTATTGATAAACGTATGGTTCTTCTCAGTGTAGAACCTGGAGACTTGACTTGAATTGTCCAGCCAAGGAAATGGATTTTATGACTGTTCTATTTCCAGGGGTTACGATAGTAACTTTTTTCCAAAATAACTTTGGAAAATACCTCTCTTCCATATAATTATTGCAATATCATAGGTATTCTGAAACTTGTTGTCTCAAAAAAGTAATATTTCCAAGCTCTGGATCTGCCCAGAGCTATGGATCATCCCTAGCTTGTTGAGTCTTTTTCCCCTCATTAGCTGAAAGATGGAGGGAGGTTTCCTAGCTCAAGATTCCAGCACTAGTAATACTTGAAAGAGGATGAAAATTCTGGTTTCCATGTCTCAACATGGCAGTTCTTTCCGATGTCGTAGCTTTGTTGAATAAACTAGAAGAATGCATGCAGAATTTTCTTCTTCTTCTAAGTGGCGGGACTATGGAACTACATCACCATAGCACTTTGGAAAATTAACACTTCGAAGCATTGCCTACCATGATTTTCTTTAACTCATTGGGCAAAATGGGCATTCACATGCTTGTATGCTGTCATTTTGACAGGACGGCTCCTGTTTTGTCTTAAAATAGCTATTCACTTTTCCTGCATGGTCTATGTACAGCAGCATCTGCCAGAAACATTGCTTTGATTGTTCACTCAGCTGGCAGAAACTGAATTGTTCACTTCTTTTGCTATATATACATATTCTTGCTTGTGTTGATATATTTAATGAAAGGATATTAAACTGACATGTGTGAATGTCTGTATGCTTGTCTTGTATGCTTGTTTCTAACAGGATTTCACCATTCCGGGAATAATATTGCAGAAACGTTTATGCTAATAAATTGTTGACTTTTGCCTACTTGGCTATAAAGTGAACTTCAGGCAACACTCTGAACAGGCTCTGTTGATTGATGTGGAAGTACACAAAGCTGATAGAGAGAGTTATCTATTTTTGCAAGCCAGGAGCTTTAGAAAGGAAATTGTTTACTCCTTAATTTGGCTGACAAACTTACATTAGCATTAAAAATGCTGGAAATTCACTTCACATCCTGATAAAGGAACAGCCTTAAGTGTGAAGATTTGCGCTGAAGTCACTTTACTGATTATTAATCAGACAGATATTAAGGATACCTCTCATATATATGAGGTCAAAGCTAGCATAATTAACATCTTCTGCTTTGGTTTCTTTCACACTTTGCATGTTAGTTTGCTTTTTTAAATACATTGATTTAAAAAGTAAATGCACTGTGCAGTAAGGTCTGAAAAAGCAAGGATGATAAGATGAAGATGGTGTTGAGATTCATAAGAAGAATCGGTTCCCGAAGCAGGGAAATTGTTCAGTTTTATTTTCAGCAGAAAATTCTGTTTTACAGATCAATTGCTTTTATGCATATAGAATTAATACACTTTACAGAATTGCAGCTGGGAGTAGCAATGTGAAGCTCTACTGGAATGTGGTGTTCAGGATCCATAATGCAAAAGTGCATCTTGTATTCTGACAAAATTTAAACAATAATTATATGTCAACTGCTGTTGCTCTCTGTGCAAGAAAAGAAATGGGATGAGTAAAAGCTGGGCAGAGTAAATTCCGAACAGTTATGGATAAAGGTTGTTCATTTCTTGTTCTAATATTTTTTTAAAGAAGGAATATACCATACTCCTGGGAGGAAACCGATCTAAAACAAATTTTTTAAAGTATGATTGGCTTATTGGTGGGTTCTTTGGCTTAGTTTTTTTTAAAAATTCCAATTGCTATTGCTAAACAAAGTGGAGCCTTCTTTGAGAAAAAAATCCCAGTCAAATTGTGACTTGAAAGTTAAATGTGGTTATGATCACAGCTGTAGAAACTCTGCATGAATTTTTGATTCTTTAAGAGGTACTAGAGTGGAAGGAAAAAATGGAACTGAATGCTGCTGTGGGGAATATATGCAGACCCCAACAAAAGGCTTCAGGAGACTCCAGTTGGCGGTCTCCCTGTGTCTTTTGGACTTATCTGTGATCATTTTTTCATGAGAACTGTGGTACAGGAAGGTGATCTCTTCAGTGGCAGACTTCACATCCTGGATCCTAGGAACAGCGTGGCCGGGTCCGAGTGCCAAGCAGTGCTTTGGATAAGTTTACTGAATAGTACACACAGCTGCAAAGCAAATCTTGTTGTAAATAGAGTGGATCTTTAGAAGCAAAAGCAATAATAACATTTCCTGTCCAAAGTTGTGAAGAGTCATCCATCCCATCTGATTGCATATGAATCCAAGCATATACCCCCCATTTTAAATGTGTTCTCATAATGTGTCATTGAAAAGTAGGCTGTAGGATTATAGAGACATAGTTTTAAGAAACTTGTCTTGGAAGCTAAGCATAAGCATAATTAGCACCCTGTTGCTCTTCTGAAGCTCAGCTGTATAATTCTTTCCTGGTAATGATATTAAAAGAAAAAAACCAAAATGAGGTAGTTAAGGAGCAAACACTTGTTGACTGAAAAGCCACTTAATCCTCCTTGTCATTAGAATGCATTCGGAGTATCATTAAAAATGTATGTTCTGTTAAATATTTCTGACTTAAGTTACAAATTCTTGACATTTTGATGGTCTTATGTTGTGAAAATAATTATAATGTGCAAATCTGCAAAAGACAGATAGAATGTGGGTTTAATTAGAATTACTGTATGTAATTATGATCTGCTGTGATTACTCTTTTTCCGTTGTCACTGTGGGAACCAGATAATGCCTGACTTTCATCTAAAAAATTTTTGGTAGGCTGCTTCCAATTGAAGTACAACATCATCTCTAAGGCAGAAATGAGATAAGAGCCCTTAATAGGCATCTAGATTTCTGAGACAACCAATATTTGCTTAATATGTTGCCCTTATTTATTAATTGAGAACATAAAATAATTGAAATGATTAATTGCTCTATATTTTTCTTGTTATTCAGAGGTAACAAATCAAAATATTCTCTGATGATTTCACTGTGGTTTCAGTGTCACTGCTTAACTAATTGTCTTTCCTTTATCTTGAAATAATGGGATCCTCACTAGACAGAGGTAACAGATAGGGAACAGTTGTATAAGTGGACCCTGATGTGCTGTTGCTGGTGTCCTTTGTTCCCTACCAGTGCTCCTTAACTCAAGCTTGCAATTTCTTTGTTTCTGTACCTGCATGTTTTCAACCCCATTAACTACAACTCCATTTGATCCTTTAATATTTTTCTTTCCCTTGTATGTATGTCTCTGTGTGTGTGTCAGTGTGTATGCGTGTGACATGTCTTCTAATTCTTCTGAAATAGTTTGCCATACTAAAAACTTAGAACCCAATCTCTAACCCACTTTGTACATCTTTTCTGGCCTTTAAAACTTCAGAAGACAAAATGTTTTTGTTTCCTTTAGTTTAGCGATTAATCTCACATATGTCCTGGGAGAAAATGGTATCCTTATCAGAAGGATACTGTCTGCATAAATGTTACCCTAAATTGATTAGTTCACCATGATCTGATATGGATGTTATACTGTCATTCTATTAACCGTGGTTCTGAGATCTCACGTGAGCCACAGGCTTATGTTTTTTTATCCCAGTTCTTTCAAACAACCCACTTTTCTTCCATTCCTGCTGTTAACAACAGTTTAGTGTGATTTGTGTATTAACCTTGTAACCCTTGAAACTATTGTCTGCACACTTGCTTCCAGTCATAATTTCTGGTGTCAGGGAAGGGATGAGCAACTGTGGCCTTCCAGATGTTTTTCACATGCAGGTAGCATAAATATTAGCCAGCTTAGTCATGGTGAAGGATTATTGGAGGTGCACTTGCTGAAAATCATCTAGAGAGTTGCAGTTGCTGAACGCCATTGTACGGGAATGGTAGGTAGCGTGAATCATGGCTTCCACCAATGTACAGGTTAACACAAATGTGTGATTAAAACTGTGGTTAACATCAGGTCCTGCAACCTACTCCCAATGGAATAACTATGGTTAAGAAATGGGCACCGTTGTATCTATGGTTCAACAGACATGACTGCTTCACTGAGTAGCATGAACGTGGTTGATATTTAGCTTGTTCAAGGCAGAGGTACTCAATTCCTTGTTCTAATACCTCACGAGGGTGGTTTAAACAAACTACCTTCATGATGTATTTGCCAAATGCCATTGAAATTCTTTCTGTTTCTCTGTAAAAAAAAAAAAGCGATAGAGAACTTCTGGAAGACCTTCAAACTGTTGGGCTGGCAGAGAACGGTGATAAGGCATATCTTGAGAGTAGTCAGTTTGGGACTCGAGATATTAACAATTTGATTTTATGTATGATTGATCACTCAGTACTAAGCCCCATGATGTTCCATGGGTCTTACTCTCAGTGAGTATGTATAGGATCATTGCTAAGAGAATAAGGCCTCATTGTTACCTTCTAGTTGTAAAGAAACATCTGATAGGTTTAAAGGCTGGAAAAGTGTCTGGGATGGGCAGCAGGGGGAGTGCATTTAGGAAAATGGATAGTTGGAGGCAACGTTAGAAGTGTAAGAGCTATAATCCTATATTTACTGAGCTTCCTCCCCCACCCCTCTTCTCTTGGGATCGTGGCACTCTTGATCTGTTACAATAGAAAATCTCCCAGGAACGTGAGAAGTTTGCAGATGAAGACAGCATCTTTTATGCTCTTGGAGAATGTGGCCTCATATCCTTTTCTGACTATATCTTCCTCACAACAGTTCTCTCCAGTAAGTAAATTTTTTTGGAACTTTGCTACAGTTTGGCTTTTTTAAAATTAAAAAATGCTTAAATACTATTAATGTATGATTTCAACCCTTGTTTGTTTGCTTAGAAAAAAGTGCCATTCTCAGTATAAAGTTTTTATGGTCAAAATGCTTTTGTATTAATAGATCTGTAGAAATATAGTTCTGACTATGCTAGCAGTGATGTTAGTTTGTATAACAAACTAGGCTGCTCACAGGTAAGATGTAACTGAACTTCTCAGCAACTTGTTTATATAACTCAGTCATAGATCAGTCTTGGCAAGAGTTGATGGGCCTGGATGTCTTTAAATGTGTTCAGTCTACATTTATTGGTTTGTCAGCTGCTGCAGGAATGGCTATAGTTTATCTTAATGTTCCTTGCCTTCACCCAAGTGGACACAAAGGTGTGCTAAAGGGTGTGCATTATGGCTATTTTCAGAAATGGTCAGGAGTAAAGAGCAGGCCCTTCATTCTACCAGCACTCCGAGGTTTCTTTAGCAAAGACCCTGCCCGCACATAATCTGATTAGAAGAGGAACCTTTTTGCTTCATTTTCCCTGAACCAGAGTGGGTTTTTCAAGCTATTATTCTGTTTGCTTATGTTTATGTTTGTTTTGCTTTTCTTCCTGCATGTCCCCAGTGCTGCTTTGAGTAATATTTGAAGTAACAGAGTTAATACTCCCATCAGTACTAACTATATGGTAATAGTACAACAACAACAACAATCCACAAAAAGGCATGAGGAGCAGTACTAGTGGGAGGCCAAATGCTCTGGACCCATTTCAGTCGGGCTTTGGGCCGCGCTATGGTACAGAGACGGCAGTGGTCGCACTGTTGGATGACCTGTTGAGGGAGGCCGATGGGGGCAATATGTCCTTGTTGGTCCTCCTCAACATCTCAGCCACCTTTGATACCGTTGACCACGGTCTCCTCCTGGGGAGGCTCTCCGAGTTGGGAGTCGGTGGCCTGGCACTTGCCTGGCTCCGCTCCTTCCTGGAGGACCACCCCCAGAGAGTACAGCTTTGGGAAAATGTCTCGGCCCCGTGGAACCTCAATTGTGGGGTTCCACAGGGGTCGATCATCTCCCCAATGCTGTTTAACATCTATATGAGGCCACTGGGCGGGGTCAACAGGGGGTGTGGGGAATCGTGTCATCAGTACGCTGATGACACACAGCTCTACATCTCCTTTACACCAACTTCAGTGGATGCCGTCCGGTCCCTCCAGCGCTGCCTGGAGACTGTACTGGAATGGATGCAGTCAAATGGATTGAGGCTGAACCCAGACAAGACGGAGGTCTTGAGGGTGGGTGGCCCTTCCATCAGCGGCATAGGTGACTCCCTCTCCTTTGGAGGGACAACCCTTGTCGCAAAGAGTGAGGTCTGCAGCTTGGGGATACATCTGGACCCGGCGCTTACCATGGAAACCCAGGTGGCGTCCGTGGTCCGCTCTGCCTATTTTCATCTATGGCGGATTGCCCAGCTGCGGCCGTATCTTGATGGGGGGAGCCTCACTACTCTAGTCCTTGTGCTCGTAATCTCGAGATTAGACCATTGTAATGCACTCTACGTGCGGCTGCCTTTGAGGTTCATGCGGAAACTTCAGATGGTCCAGAATGCAGCAGCCAGGCTTCTTAGTGGGGTAAGAAAATATCAGCACATCTCCCCCACTCTGGCAGCACTGCACTGGTTACCTATTCATTTCCGCATCGCCTTCAAAGTGTTAATGATTACATATAATGCCCTAAACGGTTTGGGACCTCAATATTTGGCAGATCGC